ACCACTTGTACAAGAAAAGAGGAACTTGTCTATTGTATTACATTGATCTATAATGAAGTTCAAGTAATACTCTAATGTACATGTCATCACTGACATGGAGCAGAATTGAGCAGAATGTGGGTGTTTTGCGAGCAGAATGCGAGCATAATGAAAAGCAGAATGGGCCTAATTCCCGAGCATTATCCGCCGGGGCCTACGCCCGAGGCTTGTTGGTCAGGGCCGACGCTGCCGTCGCCGCGGTCTCAAACGAGGAATACCAGCGATCCGCTGCTGAGTAGGATCCATGCTCAGGTACGGGTATAAACCATGTAAACCAACTAGCTTTAGAGAAAACGAGAGCAAAAAAAATTCTGGCCTTCTGCAAGCAATAGCAAGTAATGAGTGGCGGCTGTGTAAACTCGCACAACCATGCAGTCGACCGGATGATGGTGAGTGTCCGGCACACATCTTGCTCTGCTGCTCCACCTGCGCATACCTGATACGGTGGTGCGCTTACGGGCGGGCTGCCTGGGCCCCAGATGCCTCCTTGATGCGCCACGGAGTGCCGTCGAAGCACCTGTATTTAGAAAAGCGATCCTGTCAGCTTTTCTGTTATTGTGTTCACATGGCGCTACCTAACGACACCGCTATTCAGACACGTTGTCTACGTAGCTACGTAAGTTTCTACGTAAGATGCTCGGTACCTGGTCCTGGACCAGGGAGCTGCTCCATGGCCTACGCTCGTACCATCGCGCGGCCGGCTGGCCGCATGCGTGTGCATTGCAGACTTTTTGTTGTTGGCTTTTCGGATGTGCATGCACGAGGAACTACAAACAACTGTACTACTTCCTTCTTTGGAACTGCTTCTTGCATGAGCTGTTTCGGATATTTTGTCTCCTGGCCTGGATTATTTCGTTTCGGCGCTGCTGAGACATCCTTTCGCGGAATATTACTCAATGACAGGTGAGTTGACCAGTTCCCTTTGATTCATTTGCTTGTGTTGACTCTTTCATTTACGAAAAGTGTGCTTTTTGGGCGGAATGCAATAAATAATGGAAAAGCTGACAGGATCTCCTTTCTAAATTTAGCTTTTCCGCTGCCGAGGCCTCCTTTTACGGAATACTTGATGACAGGTGATCTCTGAGTTGACCAGTTTCCTTCGATTCATTATTAATTTTTGCTTATGCTCACCCTTTCATTTACGGAAACGTGTGCTGATGTTGTTCGGATTTAGATCCATTTTTATCTCTTTGCCCTTGCCTACAGTGTGCGAAGAACGCGAGTTCACCTTCTTGACGGTAAGGCTTATGTTGCTGCTGAGGCTTAGATGTGTTGTCGAAATACTCATGTTCATTGTACATTGGTACGTTACAAGTAAGGCACTGGTCAGTGGCATACTATCGTTGGCAGTTCCCAATCTGGAGGGAAAGGTTCAAGGACCCATTGACCGAGTATGCAAAATAAATTCGCATATCAGGGTGTTATAAAATGGTCACTGATCTTCAGCATTGTGATTACATTTCACTTCTCTTTGTCATTCATGTCTTCCTACTCTATGACTGTGACTTTGTCTCTCCAGCCTTGATAATGTATTTTTTTCGTACTCTTGATATTTCTATGTCAGATTAATTATTTCTGTCACTACGTAATCTATGACGTCGGTGACAATCACAGTTCAGTTTTTTGTTCTTCTGATGCACGAACGCGCGCATCGACAGCAGTGAAGTCAGCGAGGTCTTGGTCTGGCTTGTTGTTGTTCTTGAATCTTGAGTCTTCCGACAGTTCTGATTAATTCCTTGTCTCAACCTAGTACCTTTATACATTCTTAATACCGTGATAGTAGATTATTTTATTTCCTGTAGTTGCTGTGGCCTGATGTTGTGTGGAGCCTGTGCACGTGAAGAATAATTCTACTACAGCGACTTGGTGCCGAAACCCGGGAGTTTGATTCAGAGAATGTCGATAAAGTTAGATTCGTTCCTGAGGGCCTTCAAGGGCACGCCAGGAGAGAGCTTCCCTGAATTTTGGGAAAAGTTCAGAGTATTATGCACTGTTCAAGGATGGACCTCGGACACAGATAAAACGAAACATTTTCCGCTGTTCTTGTCCGGCGATGCCTTCCTAGTATACGATGGGATGGAGGATTCCAGTAAACAGAAGCCAGCTGACGTGAAAGCGAAATTCGAAGAAGCGTTCTGTGTTTCGAAATCAGAAGCCTACAGACTGTTCGTGCAGCGTAGGTTACGGACGGATGAGTCTGCAGACGCATTTGCGGCAGACTTGCAACGCCTGGCCAAGATTGCAGGGAACAGTGGTGGCAGAGATGACCCCATGGTAGTCAAACAGTTCATTGCGGGTCTGCCTAGTGACTTTCCAAAACAAGTGCGATTGTCTTTTGCCGGTGAGGAAATTAAAATGGCCGCACTTTTGAGCAAGGTGCGAGCACTACGCCAATCTGATCTGCCCCAAGCTCCAAGCATTGCAGCAGCAGCGGCGGCTCCTGGCAGCAGTACCACCAAATCCAGTGTGATGTGCCATCACTGTCAGGAAGTGGGCCACATTCGTAGATTCTGCCCTAAGCGGCAGACGAGAGATGGATCCAGAAGGAACAATGTGATTTGCTCGTTTTGCGAGCACCCTGGCCACACTAGAGCAGACTGTCGCGATCGAACGGAGTGGGAGGCCTCCAAGAAAGGCAAGGCAGCTGCTGTCAAGGACGGTGGAAAGCGGAGGAACCATGTGCTCTGCACAATGAACCAAACCACCAGCGGGTCCCTGGTCCGGATGTTTCTCGATATTCGTCCGCCTGACGCAGTGCCGTGGGAACGTATCGTATCTGTCATCGATACTGGATCCACTCATACACTAATCGATTTGGCATGTGCCCGCCGACTTCAGCTGCCAATCGTACCCGACAAGAGTGACAGTCTTGTGGCACTGGATGGCCAGCCCTTGAAGATTCACGGGCGCACCTCGCTACAACTGCAGCGCCTGGACGATGCTGTTATGCTACCTGCCATTGGGGCCACAGTCCATGTGGTTGACAGCTTGGAGGCCATTCAGGCAGAGTTCCTGATTGGAGCAGACGTCATCGCCGCCTCGTCTGGTCTCCAGCTTCGCTATGATGACGACAATGTGCTGAGCGGTATTGTGTTCGGTCCCGGCAAGCCGCCACGTGGCGTGACCGCTGCAGCAGATCTTCCACATCCGTCGCCGTATGCCAGTGTATCCCGTGATGGCCAAGATACCATACTAACCCTACCTGATGGCGAGGCGCGATGGCTGGCTGATAAGAAGTACTGGCAAGTGAAGTGGACATGGAAGGACGGCTTACCTCCAAATGGCCCGGTTGGTCATGGCATTGGAGAATATTCCCGTAACAAGCTCTCCGCAGACCAGGAACAATTGTTCCAGGATGCCATCAAGCAATGGATTGATGATGACTGGCTTGTGCCGCACGATCCGAAGATACATGGTGAACCAGCTGCAGTACTGCCTCTGTTGGCACAAGTCCAAGAGCACAAGACCTCCACCCCCGTACGACCGTGCCTTGACTATCGTCTACTCAATGATCGACTCAAGTCACAACCAGGACAAGAGGCTCCAGTATGTGCTGATACGCTCCGGTAATGGAGGCGTGATGGCAAGCCTGAGGACTTCTGCCTCCTCGACATCAAGAAAGCCTACCTACAAGTACGCGTTGTTCCCGAGCTACAGCGCTACCAGACCGTGGTGTGGCAGGGTCGTGCCTATGCGATGACGAGAATGGGATTCGGCCTCAACATCGCCCCTAAGATTATGACAGCCATTGTCCAGTGGGTGACCCGATCGTTTCCAGCCGTCGATAGCTACATCGACGATATCCGAAGCCCGAATGCCTGCTCCGATGCCGTAGCAGCCAAGTTGTTGGAGTATGGACTGCCGACAAAGCCTGCCGAGCCGTTGGTTGCTACAAGAGTATTGGGCTTGCAACTACACCAAGATGACGACGGAAGTACGTACTGGTCTCGTCGACCTGGGTTGGACGTATCCCTTCCTGAGAACCTGACACGACGCACCTTGGCAAGCTGGTGTGGCAAGCTGACCGGGCACGTACCCTTGTGCGGGTGGTTACGGCCGTATTGCAGTTATTTGAAGAGGATGGTTGAGCCGCACGCGTCGTTGGACCAGCCACTATCCGACACACTCGTTCAGTGCTGCAAGGAGCTGGCTTCCAGGCTTAGCGCTAATGGTGATCCTGCGCATGGCGTCTGGCATGTCCCTAACCCTGTCGAGTGCACGCTGTATGTCGATGCCTCTGACGTGAGCTATGGTGCTGTGCTAATGGTGGATGGCAAGAAGATCGAAGATAGATCGTGGCTGCGGCAGCATGACGATAAACGCCATATCAACGTCGCCGAACTAGACGCAGCGATCAAGGGCTTGAACCTGGCTATCAATTGGCAGTTCAAGCAAGTGCGTCTCGTAACAGACTCGAAGACTGTTGCTGCCTGGATTGACACCATCGCCAACAACGTACGCAGAGTCAGGATGAGTGGTCTCTACGATGTACTCGTACAGCGACGTTTGCAGATCATTGCAGACCTGATGGTCACCACTGAAACCAGAGTGGAGGTAGACTGGATCCCGTCCGAGCAGAATCCTGCCGACGCACTAACACGTGTCCCGGCTACCTGGGTCAGCTTTACCGAGCATCGAAGAATCCACCTAGCAATGGTGTCACAGCAGCTGCAACGCCTCGAGCAAGTGTTATTGGTCCCGTGACGCTAGAGAGTATCAAGGCATCACAGCTGAAAGATGACGTAGTCGAAGCAGTGATACATGGTATACAGCATGATCTGCCTGTCGATGAGTCCTACGCAAGAGTTCGCTCTCAGCTGGTGGTGCAAGATGGCGTGCTGTATCGCAGCCTCAAGCTGCCACTAGACGGCGTTAAACAAGTCCCTGTTATCCCAGCTGCTCTCGTACGGAAAGTGCTGTATGTAACGCATACCAACTCAGGACATGCGTCATGGTCGACTATGTATGAGATGATCCGCAGTCGATGTTATTTCCCGAAGATCGCTGCTGCTTGTGAAGCGTATGTTGCGAATTGCGGGCAGTGTGTAGCAGCTAACCCAAGCAGAGCACCCGCTATTGCAGCTACTCGCCCTGATATTCCTTGCCGCCCATGGTCTGAAGTTGTCATCGATACCCTGGAGTTGGGTTCGGATGGCACGAATGATTACCACTGTGTACTGATGTGTGTGGATGCATTCATGAAGTGGATTGAAGTGGTACCCCTTCGTCGTCATGATGCTGCTTCAGTCGCCAGTGCATTTGTGCAGGTCTGCCAGATGTGGGGTGCCCCTGATGTTGTGCGATGTGACAATGGAACAGAGTTCGCGAATGCAGTCGTCGAGTCACTCTTTCAGTCACTTGGAGTCAGAGTACGCACAGGTGCTGTGAGACACCCACAATCCCAAGGCGCAGCGGAGAGGGCAAACCGCACCCTGATTGGATTGATCCGGAAGGTCCTTGAATACTCATCCGACTGGAAGTCTGATCTCCGTACCCTGCTCTTCTACTATCTTAACAGACCCCACTCGGCAACCCATCTATCGCCAATGGAAGCCATGGTCGGATGGCAGCCAGCAAGGTTCATTGTTGAGTCACCCATTGCCAACGGCACGATGTCTGCAAGTGCATGGGTAGACAAGCTTGCACAGAGATCCGCGGCTATCCGCAATCTGATTGAAGAAGAGTTATCGAGCGGCGATAGTCCTGATGTTAACGTACTATGCCTGTATAGTCCTGGCGATGCAGTGATGTTGCGACGTCCTGAACGACGGCAGAAGCGTTCTGTACCATACGAGCGTGGCTGGCGTGTTCGTGACATCGTCAGTGCATCCACTGTCGTCATTCGTCATCAAACCTCTGGAGCTGAGAAGACTGTGAACGTCGATCTCCTCAAGCGAGATTCCAATGGCTCCGAAGATGGTGCATGTTTGGATGCCAATGTCGAGCAGCATGACAACGATCCTGAGACTGATATGGCTATGAGCGTCGACTTCGACCCACCAACTGCCACTGATGAAGAGCCCGCTCGCAACCTCCGAAGCAGAGCTGACCTGCAACGCCCTGCTCGCTACAATGACTAGCCATTGTCAGTGAACATGTTATCAGGGGGACAGGTGTTATAAAATGGTCACTGATCTTGAGCATTGTGATTACATTTCACTTCTCTTTGTCATTCATGTCTTCCTACTCTATGACTGTGACTTTGTCTCTCCAGCCTTGATAATGTATTTTTTTCGTACTCTTGATATTTTTATGTCAGATTAATTATTTCTGTCACTACGTAATCTATGACGTCGGTGACAATCACAGTTCAGTTTTTTGTTCTTTTGATGCACGAACGCGCGCATCGACAGCAGTGAAGTCAGCGAGGTCTTGGTCTGGCTTGTTGTTGTTCTTGAATCTTGAGTCTTCCGACAGTTCTGATTATTTCCTTGTCTCAACCTAGTACCTTTATACATTCTTAATACCGTGATAGTAGATTATTTTATTTCCTGTAGTTGCTGTGGCCTGATGTTGTGTGGAGCCTGTGCACGTGAAGAATAATTCTACTACAAGGGAAAAGCTCCATTATGGAGAGGTTCAGTGACTTGTTTGCTTCATACGAAACAAGCCAATGGGTGCAGTCTCGTGAAAATCTCGTACTTGTATGATTGGATTTGTCTACTCGAGTCTGGGCTGTTTGATTTGTGAGTACCGCCGAGATTGCACTGCCCCAAATAAAGTTGCGTGCCGCCAAAGCAAAAATTACGATCTGCAATCTGTTTGTAGTACCTGCAAGAATGTGCTGTACATGTATCGTACTTTCTCTGTTGCTGTTTCAGTTGTCGTCATGTTGCTAAAGAAAGGTTCAGTGACTCATTTGTTCCATACGAGACGAGTCGGTGTGGCTTAGAATCTTTCGCTGTAGAAAAAATCTATTCGTATGTCTATTGGAGAAAATATATTATTATTATTGGAGAAATGTATTCACTGGTTATAAAATAGGTTTAGACAAACTCACAGAATAAATACCATCGGTCCCTTGGTGTTCGTCCTAAAGAGGTTCGACTGGATATCATTCATACTCATGCCAAAAAGATGTGTAACATTTTATTATTATGGAGTGCCTTGTTTATCTCTCAGTACCTCCAGGGTACCCTGTAAGAAGGCCTTAGGCCTGCGGGATTGCCCTATCAAAAATTTGACAATTTGATAATAATGACCTCCAACCTCCAATAGCCTTGCCCCTGTTATCCTCAGGATCAGTGTAGTTGTTGGAACGAGGTACCGGACTCAACAATGTATTTGTTTACATTTTAATACATGTTTATTGTTCCTCCTTTGCTGTGTTGTTTTAGAAAATCGTGGACTAACAGCTTGAAGTCATTGAACTACTTCCAAAAGTTGTATCGACATCAACAGGATTACGATTTCAGTGCAATATGATGCAGGGTGACCTTATCACGATAACCCATGATTATTATTATTATTATTATTAAATGACCCAAAGGCAATATGCCTATCGAAGGGTTCATTTGATTGAAAGAACAGTACTACTACTAGTATGTACAAAGACAAGTAGGGATTGATGAGGAGAGAAATGGGGAAAATCAACTGCAAGGTGGCGGAATCCCGTTGATTGCATAAGCATGGTTAGCTGTAAATAAACAATTATAAACACAGAATCAACAAAAACATCTGCGACACGCACCTGGCTACATTACACAAGTAAATCTGATCGAGGGTGGGGAAATCTGAAATATCTGGAAGGCAAGACAATTTTGTGACGGTCATGAAATGCTGCAACAGCAACATGCACAGAATGACCTGCGTATAAAAAAAGTATCACCACCACTCACCACATGTTTCCCCAGCAGAATTATAATGCTACAATAGTGCCATTTTCTGCAAGAAAAGGCTTGCACATCAATGCGTATAATACGGTATTGATATGATATGAAGGCCATCATTTATATAAGGGCATTCCATTGATTGGTGACAGAAAAAAACAAAAGAAATTATAGCAATAAAAACTGCTTTATGGCAGCTTTCTAAAAAAAGTTATTGTGTTCTAGTCCTGGGTCCGGCATAGGCTATAGAAAATTTATAAAATTGCTTCTAAAATTGCTTCCAAACTGGCTTGGACTCCGTCTAAAAAGTAAGAAATTAACGAAATGTGATTGCCGAAAATTAAAATTTCACACAAAACCTCACAATAATCACACACAGGATGAAAAGCTAGAAGACCTTTTCCCTTCGTGATCCTCTTTCCCATGCATGCGTGTTGGTGCAGTACAAGTACAGTGTCAGACTAAACAAGTGTTGAAAGCAGTATTTAATAATAATAATATCTTTATTAGGATGACCCAGAGGCTTGTCGCCTATTTGATTGTCAAGTGTTGTGATTATTGTGAGGTTTTGTGTGAAATTTTAATTTTCGGCAAATCACATTTCGTTAATTTCTTACTTTTTAGACGGAGTCCAAGCCAGTTTGGAAGCAATTTTATAAATTTTCTATAGCCTATGCCGGACCCAGGACTAGAACACAATAACTTTCGTTAGAAAGCTGCCATAAACCAGTTTTTATTGCTATAATCACTTCGGTGATCCAAATGCGAATGCAGCCTTGCCGGTCGCCCGCCGGCCTGCCGCCTACGCGACCAGCCTGAGACTGGCCCTGCTGCATTTCTAAACGCTGCGATCCGGTAGACAGCTCACTGGGCTGCCAAATACCGTATATTCTCTATTATAAACGCCGTGCTTATATTTTTTCAACACCCCTCTACCCCGTGCTTATATTGGAGACCGCGCTTATATTGGAGACCGTGCTTCTATTTTTTCAACCAATACATCCATACGGAGCAAGAAGAAATACATGCTGGATATCATGCATGCAGCATTGATTTCCACGAAGACCGTGCTAATAATAGAGACTGTGCTTATAATGTTTCGAAAGGTGCTCACAGTGTGCTAGTATTAGAGACTGTGCTAGTAATGGAGACCTGTGCTTATAATAGAGAATATACGGTACGTGACTGGCTTGAGGACAGTTCCATACTGGGCAGGGCGCCCAGCTCAGGTCGCACGCCGTAGCGGCGTGAGCTGGGCGCGGTGAGGGTTGGTGATAACTACAGTTTCCTGGCGCACTATAGTCTGTTTCAAAAAGATTTACAATCAGGTTTGGGTCTTAAAAAGTATGAAGAGATGAAGGGAAATTTGGACAACAAAGTACATAGAATGGCTTGTTAGGACACGGCAAATTGTTCTGTTTTAAGGTTTCGGAACGGCCCACCGTTAAGGAGTTAGAATATCGGCCAGGTTTCCGGCCTTTTCCCATGGTTTACAATTTGCCCAGGAAGCCAGTATCGATTTTTTATCAAAACCCACGATTTATCCTTTCCTTTTTGGCCTTGTGGTTATGAATGCTGTCTGCTGACCATGAAGTTGTGAGTTCAAATCCCAACCTATCCTCAAGTCAAACTTTTTTTCATTGTTTTGGTGATCAAGCTGGTACAAGACAAAGAAGATGGCTGCACCAAACGACTTGTTGTTGGAGCTCGCGCTTCCTGCCGAACTGACTGACACTTGACTGGCTCACGCCATGTGAACACACCCACAACACTGCAATGGTGTGAGTGAATTATAATGGAAGTCATCACGCTGTAGCTTTTTGAGATTTATTTTAGTATTTCAAGATCGCCAATTTATTTGAATTTAGCAGTCAACGCCGTCTTCTATGAGCGTTCACAGGCGTCTGCTTTTCTCAAAATGTCGTCGAAGTCACACGGATAGCTTTGCCAAGTCATGGCCAGTGGGAATATGTCCGTGTCGATGTCGTCACACGGTGAGTAAATTGCATCGCAGCTCAAAGAAACTATTTTGGTCACAAAACGAATTGGGACCCATGCAGCTCGTCAACATTTACAACACTTTCGTTTCGACATGTCCTCCGACTCCATTATAGATACGTGGAGCTCGTCGTCCGATCTTCACTCCCTCCGTCACAGCTCCTTCGGTAGATCTCGTGGTTGCCGAGGCTAGGCTCCGATAACTGAATGATCCTCCTTGAACAGACTCCTGCAATCGATGTTATGAGAGTTCTCCCATTAATATTATTACTCTTTTTTCGTATTATTAGTTTGTTTCTTTTGTTATGATTTCTTGTGTTTTTCACTCGGCTTTATTATCATTTAACTTATTATTTGGTGCACATTAGCGCTACATGGTTTATAATTTCCCTTTTTCTTGATTTTGTATTTAGCGCTTTCGGGTGTTATTATTTATTTTTCTTATTTTCGCACTAAATTATTATTTTTGGCTACCGTTCTGCTTTCGTTTCGCGTGGATTTTGTAAAATTGTTTTATGCAAAAAAAATTATAGATACGAGGAAGCTCGAAGAACTCGTTTGTTGTAAACCAGACGTACATGACACAGTATCAACGTGAGTGAGTTGTCATTTTTCCTGCTTTCGCGCGGAATATTTCTTCGAGTTCGCGGTGAGTTTTTCCAGGCAGCGCTCGAGTGCTCATACGGTAAGACGCCAAACTCTGCGGGCGATCGCCAGGATTGTAAATCTTTTTGAAACGGACTGTAGGTGGCGCGCGCACTCGTGAAATAATTACTCGTAGATCTACGAACAAGAGAATAACTGGGGTTATAGAGCTAGAGAGGTTCTGCAAAACGAAAATGTGTACGAACTTTCGCTCCACGTCACGAAGTATTGCGTATCTTGGTGCCGACCAGGGAGTCGTAAAATACCTGGTATTTTACGACTCCCTGGTGCCGACAGGTGGAATGCGCTGCCTCCATCTTGTCGCCTGGCCGAGTCGCCTGCTTTGTTTCGCGCTCACACAAAGTCTCATTTAGGGTTCCCAGTAAAAAGGCAACATTGCCTGTTGGGAAATCCCTAACAAAATAAGAAAAGTAGAAAGGAAAAGGACATATGGAAACGAGTTAAGAGTAACTCTCCACCACTGTAACTAGATACTATATACAGTCAGAAAGTGCAACAACTAGGCACAAAACTGACAGAGTGCTGATACATTCGACGTCCTGACACCTAGCTTCAACACATCTCCGTAGCGCTAACCGACAGCCTTC